GGGAGAGTGCTTATACGGTGAACACAAGACAACGCGCCTATAAGAATTGCCTTTCGCGTATAAATGTGGTAAGCGATGCCCCCGTTTATGAGAGAGGAAGAGGTGCGATAATGTATTACCATCGATAGTGCACTGCTTTGTCGTGTACGATCCGTCCTTCTTACAGCTCGGTGTCCAGACGTCATTGAGTAAGATGACCGATGCAATGTGGACGAGCAGTCGATGCTGCTGACACGTCGTGAGGTGACGAGCCGCGTCGGTAACGATGCCTTCCAGTCCTAACGGAAAGGACAAGGCCGCATACACGGAAGTCGCATTAGTTTCTTTTCAAACGTAACTCGAGTATACATATCCACACACGCGCGCGCGCGCCCAGACACACGCACATACAAACACACACAACACAACACAACACAACGCATACACGCACACACACACACACACACACACACACACACACACACACACACACACGCACACGCACACGCACACTCACACTCACACTCACACACACACGCGCGCGCGCACGCGCGCACATACACATGCACACACAAACACAAACACACACACGTGTGTGTGCTGCCCAATGTTGAACCTGGGTTCTATACACTGGGTTCTGTTGCGATTTTTATCCGCGATGGAAGATACATGACACGTGTCTGTAGCTATATTGTGGTAATAGCTATGCGTTGGTTAGATTTATCTGCCCTGTCTGAGTGACCTGCGCAACTATGTGGACTTGCACAAATCCATCGAACTCATTTGTTTTATCAGTTTCTTCATTATCAACCAAATATCCTGATCTATAATTAGGATAAGCAGATCTATCGTGCGTGCATGCGTGCGCGCGCGGGTGTGTGTGAGTACGCCGTGTACGCCCGAGCCTGTGTGTAAAGATTAATTATTTCACTAAACCTACAATTATACGTGATACATATATTTACACATTTAGTCAATGGTCTCTTCTACGATATGATAATATTTATTGTGTTGCAATAATTCTTACATTAATCTCGTATGAATCTCTAAATCATTTATGTATCAGATCCCATCAATGTCACAAACGCATTAAAACGCTTGTTTGTAATATGAATTATTGTAAGAATTATAAAACCACATTTTTACATAGTTTGCAAAGCAACGCATTCAGATTATTTGAAATTTATTATTCTTCCCGTAATTAGCTGTACAGAATTAATTTAATACTTACGATATCACAAATATAATGCAATAATATAATAGAGCATTTAGTACACATAGAATACAATTCATCAGGGTTGAATAAAAATGCATTTATTCGCCCCTGATTTCATGCATACATTTTTCCATCTCAGCACTGATTCTTTGAAATATCCAGAAATGGTATATTTACAACACAATAAACATTAGATTATATTTCTTTGTCGCCAGCTATAACATGCTTGTCGTTACACAACAATAAATGGATAATATACTAGGGGAAACAAAAGAGTGACACGAGTTGTAATCTTTAGGGAGCCGTTGAAAATTCTACAGACCAAAGAGAACATTTCGAAGTCTAATGTCATAGAAACTGTCATAGGTCATGTCAACTGGATTTCGAGCAACTGGAAGCGATCGGCAGCGACTAGTTGCGTCCAGTTGCCCTCTGTTCTATTCCGAGCAACTAGTGGCAGCCAGTCGCAGGCAGTCGCGTCGCAGTCGACCGACCTAAGCACTGCAGTCGCAGTAAATTGCAGCCAGTTGCTTCCAGTCGAGTCGGCTTGCAAGCACGACATAAGCCCTTTTTAAGAACATACGAAATATATCAATTACTAGCAAGACGTCAGCAAGAACAGGCGATGGTTCCCAAACACGGATGAGCGCATATGAATAATTAAATTAAGGTGTCAAACCATAAAGCCAGAAAGCATACATGACTCTTTAGGCGTTTGCAACATTTGGTTACATCGTGTCCTTAAGAAGAGCGTAAGAACATCAAATTTGTCCATTATATAAGCTTGTATTTTTCAGTTCATGTTTTTCCTTTTCGGCTCACTATTTATGCGTGCACTTATGCGTGCAGTCGGCCGCCACTTTGCTATTGAAAACGTATCATTCAGCTACATCATGTACTTCAGAAGCGCGTAAAAACACCAGATTTATCAATTATATAAGCTTATATTCTTCATATTATGCGTTTCCTTCTTTACTCAGTATTTATGTGTGCACGGAGGCTACAGCCACTTTGCGATTGAAACCCCAGGATACTGCAAAGAGACGGTAAAGGGCGATCTGGGTACATGGCGCCGTGCTTTTATTCGGCTTACTTTGATTATTTTTCTTTATGTTTCTATACTTCGTTAGCAAGGGCAAGCTATTTGCCTTTTACCAGCACGTCTTTGATTGATGATATATTCTTGTCCGCGATGCTGCCGGTGCTGCACAAAGGCGCCCACTCGTGGCCCACGATATCTTTCATCTTCTTTCCGTTGACATTCACACAGAAGCAGTGACCTTGGAAATTGAAACACTGTGTTAATTGTTGTCATATAATTATAATAATAATAATTATTATTATTTTAT